AATGAAAGGTCACCTAATTGTATTAATAAACTGTTTTAATTCAGTAGGAACCCATTTGGAAGAATTCACTTTCTTGATGGACTCTGAAGATGCTTATCTTTAGATTCTTGAAATGAATAGAATTATAGTTAAGTGCGGGTTCAAAACGTGGGTCATCATGATTTCATCTGTGAAGAAATTTTCATGCCTAATATTTTCAAAGCCATGTCACTTTAGTGTTTTTGTTTTTGTTTTTTTTTCTAATTGGGACTATCTCCAAATACACTTATGGGCTTAAAAGTGAATTTTTGGCTATTGTAAGCCATTTGGCAATTTAAAGCCTGGATTTCCCCACATTTCTGTTTGTTATATTAATCATAAATTATCTTATGAAACACATGAAACTTACTGAGACTTTCATTTGAAACACAACATAATTAAGAAAAACAAAACTGGAGCCACAGCACCAAATTCTAGAATGAAGTCAAAGCAGCACGTTTACTCCGGGGGTGGTCTGCAAGAAATACTAAATGGGTGTGTAGGCTGATGGTGATGTCTGCCCTTCACCTACTGCTGTTCAGCTTGTGAATTTCACTGACCTGTGTCCTGAAGATACATGCCCTTTTCTGTGTGTAAATAATATGTCAATTAAAATTTTAAAAAAGTAAGCTAAAAACCCAGGAAATTATAGTTAAAGAAGTTGCTGAATATGGGAGCTTCTCTGTGACTTTTCAATGAGCCCAAGCAGTTCCTCTACCTGGTGCACCAAGAGAGTCTGAGGCAAGGGGTTTCCAGACTGCCCCTGCGCCTTTAGCCTTATGATCATGCTCATTCTTTGGTTAATTAGTTATTTTAATGGTCAAGTTAAAAAAAATTCATAAGATGGCCTTTGATCAAAACCTGACAAATGAAGAAATATGGGAAAATCCCCTCCTCCTAAAAATGATACCAAATCATTCTATCTTATTTGATATTGAGCCCAAAACTGATGAACACATATTCGTGGAATATCTACAGGGTGCAAGTGTCATGATGAATATACAAAAGGAGAAATAGGCCCAGACCACGGAAGTCTCTACACTCTTTAGTTGAACAGATGGGGTATACACAAATGAAAAGAAAACCACCTTCCTAGGTAATATGTGATGAGTATCAAATACCAATGCAATAACTAGGCTTGCTGTGTGCTGGGGAGGTTCGACTTTCTAGCCCACGGCATACTGGAATTTACTTACAAACTGAATATCCACACAATAAAAATTGAGATGCCTGGTGAAATTTGGGTTGGATTTATAGAAAAATAAGAACGAGTAACATTCTGGTATGTTACTTAGCAATATTCAGCTGTGAAACTTTTTGACACAGTTATAAAATAATGACCACCTGATGTTGAGGAGTATATACAGAAAGCAGAGTATTTTAGACAAAGTCTAGAATAATATTATAAATCTGTTAAGTATAGATCCACTGAGTGTACTACTGACATGGCTTAAAAATAAGCGTGAGATCAAATACTAAATCATTTACTGCAAATTCTATGTTTTTTAGCAGTTTAACAAGCTATTTGAAAATGCTAAGACTCCTAATAGCAATAAACCCTTTTTAATTTAACTATGAAAGAATAGTGAAACCCATATAAGGAAAGTTGTCTTACTGTGAAATTTTAAATTCTGTATTTAATAGAGATATTAAAAATTCTTGAATATATCAATTCAAAGTGTGAAAATTCATTTTCTTCTTCAGAGTTACAGTTTTTCTAAAATTCCAACAAAAACGTTTATAGAAAATGAATAAATAAAATAGAAACTAATGCTTTGAAAGTAAAAAGGATAACTCTGGCTTTTGAGTTTTACTTAAAATAAATCACAACAACTAGAATGGAAACCAAAACCAAAGAAAGTTGCTAGATTCAAACTGCATAGAATTTTCTCAATTCCAAAAAAAGGACCCTACCAAACAGAAAACAAACAAAAATCATGGAGTCTCAGACAACCTTCTTGGTATATATATATGCATTAATTTTGGAGTAAGGCTAAACAAAATAAATTTTCCCTGCACAAAAGGAGAGTGTCTAAGACAACATTCAAGCCAATTTCATTGACCGGGAATAATTGATATTACCTATCACTAAGGTTCTGGTCTTCAAACCTTTCATGTGGGATCTATGAATGTTATAAATATATGTAGAGAGAGATTTAGAGATATATATGTACTAAGTATATTTATAGAGTATATATATATATACACAAACACCATATACATGCTACATCAGGGTTTATAAAAATCTGAGGCAAACCATGATAATGACCATAGTGACTACATCTGGGCTATGGAAACCCGGTGCATTCTGATTCATTGGTTAGAACTTTCTGCTATTCTCCAAACTTTCTAAAAATTGCAAATTTGGGGGGGGAAATTTTTGTCAGTATACAATTTTTGGATGCCATAGTAACACAAATATGAAAAAATATTCACATGGGAGGAAATTTTCAAATATTAATAGAACATATTTTGGTCAAGTGGGACTCAGGGAGTTACTGATTTCTTACTCAATTCTTTCCTTCTTAAATCTGATGTAATGAGTCTATATCCTCTTTGGAATGGAAAAGTTAGGGTTTAGTTTTAATATTAATATTTAGAGGCAGGGGAATACTAGCAGACAAGGTTGAAGAAGATTGAGGCATCCTCACCCTACTAGGCATTGAAGCTCATTTTATTATAAAATTACTTAAAATATTTAATACAGATAAATAGGAAATAAATCAATGAAAAAAAAGTCTCAAAATAGATTCAACTATAAATGAGGAACTTAATATAATATAGTAAGCATTCCAATGCAAATGAGTTAAAAAGAATCATCTACTGAATTTGGCCGAGATATTTAGCAATAGTTTGGAAGGAAAAAGTAAAAGAAGAAAGGGGAAGTTAAGGAAGGAAGGAAGGAAGTTCCAAAGAAAGGAAGTTAGTATGACATGACCTACCAAAATAAACTCCAGGACTAATGGATTAAATACCAAACTACAACACTAAATTACAAAAAAAGTCAAAATGGCAGAGAAAAGAATAAACTACTTAAGAGATTATGAACAAATATATTTTTAGCTTTGATGTATTACAGAAAATTTAAAAAGTGTATCACATTAAATATACAGATGCAAAATCTCTGTACGAGTTTAAAAACCTGCAAAATATTGTGAAAATATTTACATCAAAATTTTGATAAACAAGATGCCTAATATAGAGTTTATTCAAAATTATTTTAAAAATAGGACAAATGAGGGAAGTTATAAATAAAAATTAGTAGAAGATAAAATTAGAAGTTATCAAAATATGCCGAAATAAGTTAATTCTTATCTGTAAGCAAGCAAAAAATTAAATTTGAGGCATTCTTTTACAACTACTAAACTAGCCAAAATATATTTTTAAAGGTAAAATGCTGTAAGAATGTGGAGAACTTGTACACTGCATTTCTGACTACATACATTTGTAATTCATTTTGAAAACAGTATGGCAACAGGTAGCAAGGGTGCTAAAGATGTTCATCCTCTTTGGCTCAGACATTCCATGTATGGAATTTATATTGAATATATGCATAAAATTCATCAGAAACAAAGAGATCTGCACAAAAATTTTGGCATGTTCCATTCTATCAAAAAAATTGGAAATGATCATGATAAATAATTGTATGATAACAAATAAATATGGATGTGTGAGAATTACTTAGAAACAAGGAACACATTTATTGTGCAATAAGTGAATACAAAAATATACCACAGTACATATACTGAATTTTTTCAATTATGTAAAAAATATAGATGATAAAACGCAAAATATGAAAATAATCGATGTGTTAAAGCATAGTAAAAATATGAGTGTTTTCCAGTTTTAAAATTTTTAAACCCAATTGTTTCTGATAATTGGCACAAAGATATGATAACCAGATACAAAATATACAGTTGTATAAAACGAGGAAGAATTTTTTCCACGAATAAGGCATTTAGTGAAAAATAAGTTTACAGAAGGAGCATCCTGTGTGTGCGTGTGTGTGTGTGTGTGTGTGTGTGTGTGTGTGTGTGGTGTGATAGGACACCTATTCTGTCTCTCATGCACTTCTGTTCAGAAGTACAAATACATGTAAATAATTACACCTGTTGGGTCTGCCTCACACTCACCGTGAAGATGGAAGGAAACAGGAGGTGTGACGATACCTCTCCTAGTACAAGCCTGCCTGGCACATTCTAGGGGCTCAAGAAAAGGTTCCTTCAATATAAAAGGGAAACAGCACCAAGGATTTGTTAAATTGCAATATTAGTAAGCGCCATTCAAATGCTCTTTCTCAGCCTTGAGATGAAGGAACTAGAGCTGAATCACGTCTTGGGAGGCCCCACCAAACCTGAGGTGTCCGGGACGCACACAATTCTGTAAGAAAGGTAGCGATCGCTAAGGAACTGTTACAAGGAGGCTATAAACGTGTGTGGAGCTCCAGGAAAAAGCACACGTTAAAGAAAAGCATTAAAATCTCCGTGTGTGTGTGAGTGTGTGTGTACAATAGGCTTTTTTTAAAAAGCAAGACACCAAATGAAGCACAAACACGCACCTGCCTCCGGGGTGATCTACACGTGGTTTCACGGCGGCTACGCCCCCCAGGAGATGCTGTCTGGCTGCCCTTCTCTGACAGAAGCTGATTCTACACTGGCACGTGGTGCTTTGTTCCCGCACGGCCAGACGATGCTCCTGACGTAGGAGTGAACTATCTATTGGAGGGGAAATGTGGGCCCCTTTCCCCTTTTTTAAAGTGCCGCGCAGATAAATCCCTCTCCCCACGAAACCCGCTCACCGTAGGACAAAACGTGCTGTCGGCCTATCACATCGGCCAGGGCTTGGTTTTCCCCGGAGCCCCACCCGGCTGGCACGGCAAGCTGGCAAGTGTCCAAGTTTCCAGGTCCTGTCTGGCTTCCCTCTGCTCCTCACCTGTGAACTGGGATCCCTGACTCCTAGCCGCTTCTGTGCCCCCAACATACCTGTTTCTTCTGCATCCTGCAGGCCACGCTTACTCCTGCTGCTTTGGCTGGAGTTGCTTTCTCGGGGAGCTGGTAGCGCAAAACTCCCCTGCCAAGAGAAAAGGCCCCCGTTATTGCCAGGGCGTCTGGGTGCGGGAGCGTGGGGCTGGGGCTGCCGCAGACTCACTTTCAGGGCGGAGGTGGCGGCTGCAGCCTCCCGCAGGGCGGCCCTGGGGGCTGCGGCTCCCGCCTGGGGGGCGCCGGGCAGCTCCCGCAGCTCCGCCCGGAGCCTTCCCAGCTCTGCTTGCAGGGAAGCCAGGCGGCAGAAGGACAGCACCGTGAGGCAGCAGGACAGCAGGGCCAGCAGCAGGGTCACGGCCAGCAGCTTTCCATCTTTGGAGAAGCGGACAGAGGGGCTTTCCTTCTGGGGGAGGATGGAGACTGTCTCCTCCAGTTTCATTTCGTCTCTGGTCTTAAGGCGAGAAAGGCGTGACTGCTCCCCTGTGGAGTCATCCATTTCCCTCCTTGAACTTTGAAGGTTCGGGCCCTTTGAATAAGTGACCACAGAGAATGGATCATTTCCTGTTATCTGTGTTTGTTGATGTCCTACATTGACTACATGGCCCAGCTCGGCGCTCGCCCTCCGGAGAGTTCTCCTGAATTTTCTTCTCTCTGCCCGGCCGCATCTCTGCCCCTACTGTATGATAGGTCTTCCTGGCATTCGCCCTTCTATGTGATTGCTCAATCAGTCTTCCTCATTTCACTTTCAGTTTTTGTAAGAATTTTAATGGCATCTCAGAACACTCATGCACAAAAGGGCCCCTTAAATCTACTAACGGCAAGGAGTTGGGGGTTTGGACCAGCACACTCCAGACAACTTTTAAGATAGGAAGGTGTTTAAGGAACTCCCCCTCAGGCATTAGGAGAGAACTGGGTCCACTTGGGGCCACGTGGCTTTGTAGGGAAGGGGGAAAAGAATATGAGTAAGTTCCTGCTGGTGTGATAAAATTAATGAATGCCAAGGTCAGATAAGCTAAGTACTTCAGCATTGAACTGTAGTCAGCTGGAGAGTGATTTCCTAACAGTCTCTAAGTGGGAAATACAATGAAATGTCCTTAGACAAGGCATAAAAGTCCGCCGGGGAGTACTGTCCCCACTATCACCTTAGTAATGGAATGAGAAGAAAGTGCCTATATTTTGGGGACCTACTTAGATTAGCTGTGCAGGGGATCCTCTATATGCAGGTGTATGCATTTTGAAAGGGACTCTAAGTAATCCTCTTCCTCCTGGGACTCACTGCTAGAGAGGCAGCCACCCACAGGATGGCCAGTCCCCAGGAGCTGTCCCACCTCTGCCGTCCCCACCTCTGGAGCTGCAAGTCCCTGCTCCGTCTGACACCATTTGGGGGAGAATCGGTCTTAGCTCAGCTCCAGATGCCTGGGTCCCGTCATTAACTGCTCTTTCCCTAAAGCAGCTAATCTGCTCGTCCACATTAGGCCGACTCTGCCCCAATCTAACCTGTATACAAGACGACCCGACTCGACCCAGACAGAATTTAGTTTCAAATCTCTATTGTTGGGGGCCTCCCTGGTGGCGCAGTGGTTGAGAATCCGCCTGCCAATGCAGGGGACACGGGTTCGAGCCCTGGTCCGGGAAGATCCCACATGCTGCAGAGCAACTAAGCCCGTGAGCCACAACTAATGAAGTCTGCGCGCCTAGAGCCCGTGCTCTGCAACAAGAGAAGCCACTGCAGTGAGAAGCCCGCACACTGCAACTAAGACACAACACAGCCAAAAATAAATAAAGTTTTAAAAAAAATCTCTATTGTTGGACGTGGCGTGGCTGTAAGGACACCAATCCCGCCTGTGATTCTGTGTCCTCATCTGTTGGATGGGGTGATAACTGTCCCCGAGAGCTGTAAGGAGACTTACAGGAATGTAGAACAAGCTACCTTTAAGATGTTCCCATTTTTCATTCATTCCATTCATTCATCATGTGGAATCTATTTCATTCCTTCATTTTATGAACGGAATGTTTCATTTATTCAGTCCATGGAATCTTTTTCATTCTTACAAACAGTGCTGCAATAGACGTCTTTGTACCTGTCCCCTGGTCACAGCTGCACACACCTGCTGGAGAAGAGCACATAGTCACCTTGACCAGGTGTCTCTGAGCTCCCTCCCAGGACCGCCTGTTTCGTCCTTGTCTCACTAAGTGCGATGTCATCCACCTTATTCATTTTTACCTCTTGGGATTGTTTTTTCCTTTGCATCTGCAAGTTCCAAGACCTTTCAAAATGACTTTAAAATTTTTTTCTGTTTAAAGAAAGGTTTTAGTGATTCCCGTGGTCCCCCCAGTTAGCTGTTCTCAGGTGCAAGTTGTCTTCTATAAGTAAGCGTGCAGACTCTTTACTGTAATACAATTCCTTTGTGACAGTCCTCGTTTCCAGATCATCATGGTAAAACATACTAGGTAACATTTCAATTTTTTACAAAAGGATTAGTTTGGGGATTACTTTCTGACTGAAAGTAATTGAAACTCTCTCAGATTATAAGTGTGTGCATTTCCTAGTACCTAAATACATGGAGAAATAAAAGAATTCAAGGCAGTGCTAGAAACCAATTACTCTCTTTTCCACCCTGGACACCTGCAGCCAGCGCTTCTTTCTGTGAGTGGACATTCTTCTCCTTCTGGCAGGCCACTCCGCTCCGTGTTCTGCTGTAAAAGTTCTCAAGAGAGAGGGAATGACTTGCTTTAGGGAATTACCTTCGCCTTCAGCTGCTCTCCTGGGAGAGCCACTGAGCAGTCTGCCTGCGGCCAGTTTGGAACCAGGAGCTGGTCTTGGACCACCAGCGGGCAGCCCCAGCAGAGGAGGGCTAGTTCTCCCTCGACCAAAGGCGGCAGGGCAGCTGGCCCAGACTGGACATGGCCGGGTGATGTCCTCCACAGCCATCACATGATGCAGTTTCTCAGAAGACAGGTAGAAAACGAAGTGGCATTTATGTGCTCTCGAATTTCTTATTAGAGGAACAAAAGGAAGTTATTACTCCATCAATCAAGGATCTGTTTCCTGCAGAGGAAAGGGTGTGACAATAATTTAACTGAAATTCTGTTCAACAGATAGCAAGCGCGTCCATAGTCACTGACTAGCTCACCACTTTCATGTTTATTTAGGGCTGGACCTGAGCCACACTTCTCTTCCACGGTTCAGCTCCTTTTCAGCCACTTCTTTTTCTCAACTGGAGTGTAAAACATCCTCCTGCAACAGAGCTGAAACAAACTGAATAAACAAAGGGAGTCCCACGTTCCCTGTCCCATCTATTCAGGAGAGAGTAGATAGGAACATGGGAGAGTATATTTGAAAAGAACTGAAGTCAGGAGTCTGTCTGATGGATGAAACACAGCGTAAAACAAACATCTACTCTGACGGCTTGCTTCTTATAGTGACAACCTCAAAAAGATTCAGAAAGCTTAATTTTAAACTTCTGGCTTAGCAATCCTATAAAGAATTGGCGGGTTTGAGAAATCTATCCTTTACCCATTTCTTTGAGGAAAAAAGTGTCTTTCATAAGGATTTGGACAACTCAAGCATGGAGACAACAGCTCTTCTAGAAATGCATATGTACCTAAAAATAGACCTAGGTAAAACTGGCTTCCTCAGGTGCTCAGAATATGGAAAATGGCTTGATGCAAATAATTATTAATTTCAGAAAAAATCATGTTGTTTCCTTGTAGAAATATATACATGCAGTCAGTTGCTATTATAATTATAGTGAAACTTGAGTTGGAAGGCCAAGTGCTATCTGCTCTGTGAAACTGAACCAGGAAGTACTGGTGTGATTTTAAACATAGACAACACTGGTCATTTCTTATACAAAAAATAATGTCAGTCCCTGCGATGTTGATTTTTATTTCTTAATAGTTATATTCAAATGAGGAGTGTGTATGTATTTACTGGAGCTTAATTTTTGTCAGTTTTGGAAAAAAAAATCCGCTAAGAATTCAGTTTCATCTGTGAATTGTCCTCAATTTGTAGTGTAACTGCTTTCAGATTTAATTCTCTTGAGTGTTTATTTAAGTGTGTGTTTTTAAGAAATTTCTGTTTAATACTATTTTCAATTAAAGTGCAGTTTAGTTTGTTATTCTTTACCTTTATAACACTTACGAGGATATTTTCATTAGTATTAAGATGAATATGTGTCAGATCATCTGTCTATTTCATATACATCAACTAATTTTTCTACTTTACATGCATGACACAGACAATACACACTGACACAGAAGGGCACTCAAATAATACCTGGTCAGATCTGACCATCTCAAAAATGTTGGGAGAAAGGATTAATTCTATCCATGCAGGAAACATTACTTATGAAATTCTCTCTGTCTTTAAAAACAAATAAAGCAGAGTTTGCAAACGTTTTTAATAATTTATTTGAAATTTTGCTTATTAAATGTGAGAAGTAAAATGATGGGGGTGAGACGTATGGCCTCTGAAGTCAGACGCATCTGTATGCCCAATTTTGTTCTACCATCTTAACAGACTCTTCCCTGCCCCAAATCTAGAAACTGATTTTGTTTAGATAGACATTTTGGTGGGATGCTGACCCACTGCAAGCTTCAATTCTAATCACTGCAACGCAGTCCTAGTGATTCCATCCGCATCAGCGTTGACTGCTAAGAGTGGACGGATAAGAGAGGTTTCTAACAAGCAGATGCAAGGGGTGGTCTCTTTGGGGGCTCATGAGAAAGAGTTCATCATCTTTAAAGAGAAACCCAAGAAAAAGACATCCTTCCTGCACTGCCACATGTTCACATATGACCACACAGAACTGTGCTGGCCATCCACCAACTGCTGTGCTGTCTAGGCCGACAGGTGGAGGGTAGGAAGAAAACCTGGGTCTCTAACTGCACTATTGCGCTGCTGAATTAATCAACTCTTCGTGTTCCCTATCTGGGGATGTTTTATACTGAGTAATCCTTTCGCCTTATTCTTTAAGCCAATTTGAGACAAGAGTAGACGTTAATGGATCCCGAAACATCCTAACTAGTTCTGCTAGCGTGAGGATATTTATATTCCTACAACCCAAAAACTGTGTGTTTCGAATGTTCTTCCAGAATTTTTCCAAATGTCTTCATGTTAAAAATTACAATGTAAAGAGAAATTTTTGTTTTATATTTCATCTAGCATTTATTGCTGGAAAAACTAGCTCATTCACTAAGAAGAATCTTATTTCCATTTCTACTCTGAAGTTACTTTTTGATAACTTCAACTATTTAGTAGAATTAGGAAACAAGAAAACAACATCTTTAAAAGTGTTATTCTGTGGAGATGCATTGAAGGGATCTGTCTTTTCTACGTGGACCCAGAATAAATTCAGTCACCTCTTCAGGAAGGGAAATAGGAAATCAGAATTGTGGGTCACCATGTAAGGAGGGAATCACCTCGAATTAAAGAAAAACCAAAGGAAGCCCAGGGTATTCTGAGAAAAATGCAGCCTGAATCCATTTTTCTTCTCCTTCCTACAGGCTCTGAGTTATCCATCTTTCTTGAGCCAAACTACAGAGGAACCCATAGGCAGCTGGATGTTGGGCTCTAACAGTTCTTAGACCAAGAAAAATGATGTGAGGCTTCTTCCCCCAAAGCAAGGTTAGGTAGTATTGAATCTGGGACTGGAGTCTCAGTGAATCTTCAAATAAATGACAGAGCAGAAGTCTCTGGGCCCAGGCAGTGGGGGCCATCAGCCTCCCATGAGTGTGCCAGGTGTCCTTGACCTGGAGACGGCATGGAGGAACCAGGTGTGTGGAGGTATTCCTCCCATCCCTGGAGCTGGGATAACGTAAGGGGTGAGAGGAAACAAAAGCCTCCCCAACGCCCATGTCTCATCAGTAGACGGCAAGCTTCTCTGCCGGCACCAGGCCGGCTTATCCAGATGGAGAGGACTTGGTTTCCCAGCAGTTGAGTGAGTAAAGAAAACTTATAGGATGCTTAGGAGAGGTGAACAGGCACAGAAGGAAAGAGAAACAGGAATCCTCTTGCCAACATGCAAAACAGAGGTGATGGACAATTTGAGTTCTAAAAATTAATAGAAAATTCAACTGCAGTAAGTTTTCTTAGAAACTAAAAAAGATCCCCATCATTTTCCAATGAAACAGTTTAATAGATGAATAGATGAATTAAATAGATGAATAGTTTAATAGATGAATTAAAAAGGAAAGGATGGTCACATTTTGTTTTTTTTTTTGCGGTACGCGGGCCTCTCACTGTTGTGGCCTCTCCCGTTGTGGAACACAGGCTCCGGACGCACAGGCCCAGCGGCCATGACTCACGGCCCAGCTGCTCTGCTGCATGTGGGATCCTCCCGGACCGGGGCACGAACCCGTGTCCCCTGCATTGGAAGGCGGACTGTCAACCACTGCGCCAGCAGGGAAGCCCTCTCTGAGCAGCTTGGAAATCTGCAACTTCTCTTCTTGTGTTTTCCTGCTACTCAAAATATAAAGACTCTCTTAATCTCAGATTGTTTTATTACCAAGTCTGATTGCTCAACAGAAATATAATTTTATAGGAAATTTTGTAAAAGCTGTATTAGATAATCGTCAAGTGTCATAAAACATGTCTAATATGTCAGAGTTCATAAATTGCATTTATTGTTAATTACATCTGAATGTACTGCATTTAAAATGAATTTGCTGATTTTTGTCTATTCCTTTTAAATATAAGCCTCTTTTTTCTACCACTGGTATAAAAAAAAGAGGGTGATTTCCAGAATTTTAACCAAAAGCATAATCTGTTATCTCACAGCTACAGCTGTTTACATATTTTAAACTAAATAATGAGTTTCTACTAGTTTCAAAAATTAAACACAATCCAGACCCATTTTCGTCTTTCCACACTCAAGAGAAGTGATCACGATGCAGTACAAAATTCATGTGAAATTTTCACTATCACTTATCAGCCAGCAGTATTAGTAATAATTAACTAAGGATAACAAGTCAAATAAAATAAAGTATAAACTGGGCTCTGCTGGTGACTATTAAAATCCTTCAGTATTTTAGAACACTAATCTTAAACCATTAACTGTACACACTTTTTGAGTTTTTCTAATTGAGGTAAAATTGGCATATGACATTATGTTAGTTTCAGGTGTATAACATAATTCAATCTTTGTGTGCGCTACAAAGTGATCACCACAGTAAGTCTAGTTAGCATCTGTTACTGTACAATTGATCCCCTTCACCCATTTCACCCACCCCCCCAAGCCCCTTCCCCTCTGATAACCACCAATCTGCTCTCTGTATCTGAGTTTTGTTTTGTGTGTCTGTTTGTTTTTTATATTCCACATGTAAGTGAAAGCAAACAGTATTTGTCTTTATCGGTCTGACTTATCACACTTAGCATAATACCCTCAAGGTCCATCCATGTTGTCACAAATGGCAAGTTTCCCCCTTTCTCATGGGTGAGTAGTATTCTACTGTACATGTACCACATCTTTTCGATTTAAAAAACATTGTGTTCAAATACACATAACATAAAATTTATCACCTTACCTTTTTTTAAATTGAAGTGTAGTTGATTTACAATGTTGTATTAGTTTCCGGTGTACAGCAAAGTGATTCAGTTATACCTATATACACATTCTTTTTCAGATTCTTTTCCATTGTGGTTTATTACAGGATACTGAATATAGTTCCCTGTGCTATACAGTAGGTCCTTGTTGTTTATTTTACATATAGTCGTTTGTATCCACGTTACCCTTTTGAAGTCACTTTTCAACTTCTCTTTAATATGGTTGACTTTTTAAAAAAATACATTTATTTTTTTATTTATTTTTGGCTTTGTTGGGTCTTCGTTGCTGCGCGTGGGCTTTTCTCTAGTTGTGGAGAGCAGGGGCTACACCTCGTTGTGGTGCGCGGGCTTCTCACTGCAGTGCCTTCTCTCTTTGCAGAGCATAGGCTCTAGGCACACAGACTTCAGTAGTTGTGGCATGCGGGCTCAGTAGTTGTGGCACACAGGCTTAGTTGCTCCACAGCATGTGGGATCTTCCCAGACCAGGGATCAAACCCGTGTCCCCTGCATTGGCGGCTGCTTCTTAACCACTGCGCCACCAGGGAAGTCCCAATATGGTTAACTTTTGAATTTATAATCCTCACCCCATCCCAGAGAAGGAAAGATATCTCATTTGGGGAAACTTCTGTATGTCATGGATCTGCAACACGAAGAGGACTGCAGGAGGCACTGTACACGTCATCTCAGGCTCCAGAAGCTGGCAGTGCATGGCGGACAAAGCCCCGGCCACACTCAGAAAATCTGGGTCCTGATTACAGCTGCGTGTCTAGGTTTGGTCCCTTCACCCTTGGGTTTCATCTCATTCCTCTGTGGAATTCACTTCTCTTTCAGGTCTCTTCCACTCTAATCAGTACAGAGAAAGGCATTTTGATTCCCAGGACTGTCCTTTGTCTACAGTGCCTCCTGTGGCCCTAGATTTTTTTTTTTTCAAATTGTGGTTTAAAAACACATACCATAAAATCTACCATCTTAACCACTTTTAGGGTACAATTCAATAGTGTTAAATGCATTTACCCTGTTGTGCAACCATCACCACCATCTTTCTCCAGAACTTTTTCATCTTGCAAAAATGAACGTCCATACCCATTGAACTAAGAGCTCCCTTTCCCCTCCCTCAGGCCCTGGTCACCACCATTCCACTTCCTATCTCAATAATTTTGACTACTCCAGATACTCATATAGGTGGAATCATACAATATTTGTCTTTCTGTCACGGGCTTATTTCACTTAGCATTATGTCCTCAAGGTTCATCCATGGGATGGCATGTGTCAGAATTCCATTCCTTTTCAGTGCTGAATAATATTCCAATGTACGTATGTTTGCCTGTGATAGTAATGTAGGCAGCCCTCATCCAATCCATCGAAGGCCTGAAGAAAACAAAGAGGCTGACTTCCCCTTGAGTAAGAATGATCTCCTCCTGCCTGTTAAGGGGGACACGTGTCTTTTTCTGCCTCAAGACTTGAACTGAAACCCTGGCTCTTCTGGGGTCTTGAGCCTGCTAACTTTCATAGTGGAACCTACAATACCAGATCCCCTGGTTCTCAGGACTTCAGACCTGTACTGGAATATGTATGTATGTATGTATGTATGTATGTATGTATGTATGTATGTATGTGTGTGTGTGTGTGGGGATAAACATTCTGTTTATCCATTCATCCATCGATGATGGATGATGACCAACTTGGGTTTCTCAATGATCAGTTTGGGTTGCTTCCACATCTTAGCTACTGTGAATAATGTTGCTATGAATATGAGTGTGCAAAATCTCTTTGAGATCCTGCTTTCAATACCTTTGGACAAATACACAGAAGTGGAGTTGCTGAATCACATGTTAATTCTATTTTTAATTTTTTGTGGAACCTCCAGACTGTTTTCTGTAGCGGCTGCACCCATTTTATTGATACATGTCCATCAAAGTGCTCAAGGTTCCAGTTTCTCCACATCCCCGACAATACTTCTTATTGTCTGTTTTTTGATAGTAGCCATCCAACAGAAGTGAAGTGATATGTCATTGTGGATTTGATTTCCATTTCCCTGATTAGTGATGAACAATGGACATTTTTTAAAGGTCTTTAAAGTTTACTTTAAAAAATAACACAGGGCTTCCCTGGTGGCGCAGTGGTTGAGAGTCCGCCTGCCGATGCAGGGGACACGGGTTCGTGCCCCGGTCTGGGAAGATCCCACATGCCACGGAGCGGCTGGGCCCGTGAGCCATGGCCGCTGAGCCTGCGCGTCCGGAGCCTGCGCTCCGCAACGGGAGAGGCCACAGCAGTGAGAGGCCTGCGTACTGCAAAAAAAATAAAAATAAAAAATAACACAAATGCTAACTTATCTACAGACAGTTCTTGTGCGTTGACTGGCACATCTCCTCAAACAGGCTTGTAAAGAAAACCTCAATCTTCCTCCTATGTATTTTTTTCTTTTTTTAATTTCGTTTTCCGTTTGTTTGTTTCATCTTTCTATGTATCTTTTCACCGTCACACCACTACCAATCTCTCAACTCTTCTGACA